GGTTGTGCCTTTTTTCTCCAAAATTTTGACAAAAATCAGGGGTGTGACTATTCATTTGACATCATAGGGAATCTGAAATAGACTGTGGCATGTCAGTAGTCTAGGTGAGTACATTGGGCTCGAGCATAAGCCAAAGTTTTATGATGTCAATGAACACTTGTTGTCACTTTTGTGATGCCAACAAATACTTGTTGCTACTTTTGTAATGCTCATTGTCGTAGAGACTTTGTAATCACAGATACAACTATAATATGCCGTTGAACAATACTGGTGTCAGACACCTTTGAATAACACTCATACTTGCTCAATAATACTCGCTTGAATAATGATCCAAGTAGAGAAATAGTATACTGAATAGAGTAGAGAATAATGGTTCATATAGTAATAGAGGATAGACTAGAAATGAAGATCCATATAGTATAGAGGATAGACTAGAAATGAAGTCCATATATCAATTAGAAATGAAGATCCATATAGTATAGAGGATAGACTAGAAATAGTGATCAATTACACGTCGGCTACTTCCTACATATATACGTTTCCTCTATGGTCGAGGTATACTTAATTCAATAATGAGATCACCTGTGTTTGCTCACTGTTGATCTATATTCAAACTCGAGTGTTGGCAGTATTTTATTCCTATTTCACACAGAGCAAAGGAGAAAATTAATTTTTCTTGACATTTTGATTTTATGCAATCTCCTCTTCCAAAAGTACCGCGTCACATATTAAATAAGTGTTGAATCTGCACAGCTCATAGTTACCATTTATTATCTGATTTACAATGAAAGACTATCATTTTCAAGTGATTTTAGGACTGAAGCAACTACAGGTATCCAGATTTTTGTCTAAACAGAGAAGCCCTGCACTCTAAGTAAATACAAATGAAAAAAATGTTTGACAGTGATGATGATGAATTTCTGGGGTTTCAACCCTGATGAAGTTTAATAATTATATCGACATGAATAAACACTTTTCTTATGTTTTAATATATGTAAGCAAAGTATTGAAATAAAAGTGAATATTTGAAAATATTTAATAAATATTAGTTATATTTACATTAAAATGATCCATGTAACTCTCCCAAACTAAGAGTGTGACCTGTCTGCAAATTCATACACTACTTTATGAAGAAGGCTAAGTCATGACTCTGTGATTGGTTAAAATATTGTTTTTGTGTGTTATACATAGATATTGATAAATTAGTTATTACTAGTATTTTCATTGGTAGTTGTGCACCTGAAGAATATTATCCATTGAAGAAAAGGAAACTATTAGCAGAATAAAGTGAACAGGTAACACTTGTTAATTTAAAAGCTATATCAATTGTTATCTTCTATCTTAATTTCTGTTAACACTTGTTAATTTAAAAGCTATATCAATTGTTATGCATCTTAGTGACTTTATTACCTTGTTTGTGGGTGAAATGATTAAAAAAAAAAAAACAGCTGTTACCTTTTGGATTAATTTTCAACCTGAATAATTGTCATCTCATGAAAGGTTAAAAAAAAAATAGAACAAGTTAATATTAATGTCTTTCTGATGAAGCATCTTTTACATATACTCTAATAAAGTGATTCAAACCTTCGTATTGTCAGATTATGGAGTCTTGCAACAAATATATAAGTGCTTTCATTTTTTTATTTTATTTTTTTACAGATATAAATACTTAATTATCATTTTTATATCCAGCAACAATACCACATTCATTTTTCATCAATAGTAACACTGAGGACTGTTTATAAAATGTCAGCCATGTTCATTGTAAAATTATTTGTTAATTCATTATCAGAGCCAAATTGAAATGATTCTTAATGCAAATATCTGAACAAAGGCAAAACTAAAATTATTTTCTCTGCAAAGTAACAGGCAATGCAAAAACAATTTTCTGACATGCTTTCTATTTTATACTGCTTTCAGTTTAATAAAAACCTGGTAATTTAAAAATAACATTAGCATTTACTGTGTAAAAGGCATAATCAATATGAGAAGTCATAACTAAACATCAATATTACAAATTAAACACCTTTTTATTTTAATGTATAAAATAAATATGCTAATCATATTCCATACTTGTTAAAACTTTAAAATAATAAATTTACAGTTTTATGTAAGGTACTAGATATTTTCTTCATGTTTTTAACCTTTTTATCTGATCATATATTGAAATAATCATAGTACAGTGTAACCTGGATATAAGAGAGTTGTCGGGACCAGAGAAGAAGTCTCTTATATCCGGGTTTGGTCTATTTTGTTTAGGTAAGTATGGCTCTAATTTGGGACCAGAGAAAATCTCTCTTATATCCGGGTTTCTCTTATATCAAGGTCTCTTATATCCGGGTTACACTGTATACAAGATTAGTTTTATCTATCAATTGAAACTATTTTTCCAAGTGAGGCTAAAGGGCAATCAAGTGTCAGTTCAGTTAACCATGATTACAAAAACAAGATTCTCCAGGTTTGTTTGTGCCATGAAATGCTTTTGTGATTTGTTGACTAATCAGATTTCATTAAGAGGAATCAAAGAATTGAATTCCTTGGTCAAATATGGGTCTTAATAGAAAATGATTTTGAACAGTGCTTTAAAATCTGACTTTAAAACTTGTCAAAAGATTCCAAGCATTGATGGTCAATTGGGTAACTTTCAATATGTGGTGATTACAAAATAACTCCCTTTACTCCACTTTCTTCAAATTTGTGCAAGCTGGGGAAAAAGACAGACAGAAATTTGTGAGCCTATGTGAACTTTGTTTTCACAGGAATTATCTGTTGTGCCTAAAAAAAAAAAAAAGAAAAATAGCAAGTCTATACAAAATCCTTTTCGATATAAAATAAAGAAAAAAATCAGCAAAGAGTGTCTGAGGCCATGTGAAAAGTTTCATTTCTGTTCATGCGTCCAGCAATCAGGTTTTTGCTACTGTCAAATTACTAGCCAATTATATTATTGGCCTTAATGAAGCACTTGGCATTTTAAATAACTTTATTTCAACAATCCAAGAAAGTTCAGTATTTCAAACTTTCTCTCTTTGTCTACTTTTGAACATATGCAATCTGTGAACAACAAACTCTCTTACCTTTTGTTTTAAACATTTTTGAATGTTATGCCAGATCATTTAACATTTTCTCTTCATGACAATTCATTGAAACTAACAACTTCAAGCATGCAAATTAACAAGATAAATTCCTTATCTTGTTTTGTAAAAATAACCTGTGTTTCCTCTTCATTATCTGCCTCCATGAACCTTCTTGGTGTGGGTAAACCAACTGTTCATTTTAACCCTGAATTCCTATGCCATTATAAATAAAATGGAGGAACAAGTGAAATATCAAACAAGTTTAATATAGGGTGGCACAAGGCTATAGTATTAAAGAGGAATATAGGAGGAAAGCTTTCAAAGAGTTCATTTGTATGGGAGATGCTTAAATATTCCTGGTCCAATCCACTTCCCAACATCAATATTCTGATATTTGGTCATTAAAATACTGATTTTTGTGAAGTGGATCAGTCTGAGAACTTTTCAACACTCTTTTGTAATTTATTTATTCTTAATTTTAATGTACAGATAATAAGAGTATGTAGTGATGGTCAGTATGCTTATCTTGCAAGCCATTGTTATTGAGTTCTTTACTTTGAACTTTATCACTCTAATATGTATTTTAAAGCTGATCTTGTAGTACAGGTTTTAAACAGCATTATCTAGTATTTGTCTATATGTACTTACATGCATATATTAATGATTAAGCATGAGATTTTTTTTCTCTGTGGTTTCTTGGTCAGCCTGAAAACTTTTCATCACACTCTTGTAATAAGAGGTCCATTTGTATGTAAATCCATTTAAAAAGAACAACCACTTAGATGGACCAAACCAGAGTCCAGTGTATACAAAATGATAATGAAAGAAATGATAAGAAATTAAAACTTGGGATTGAATTGAAGACCTTCAAATTCTGTCTAATATTGTTCCAAGATTTAATGATTTCCTAGTTCATTCCCTGTTTTCAACTTTGTCTTGGAAATGATTTGTGTACCTAATGAAAGAATATTTATAATGAAAAAAAATATGACTGCAATATTACTACTCTTCAATGAAAAAACAATATTTTTACATTTAAGTGTTAAAATTTATAAATTTATGAATCATCTTCATCTTTCATTTTTTTCCATCTTTCTTCAGGTAGAAAATATATATAAAATGCAAGATGAAAATGATTCATAAATTTATAAATATGATAGTTAAATAATGTTGAATAGTTGAAAAATGATAGTTAAAAAAAATTGATATTAAAAACTCATTTCAGTAACTTAAAAAAAAAATCTTTCAATTTTTAAAGTTGCCATCTTCACTCAAGAAATGTTAACTTTTTATCATTGAAGGCAAATATATTATTATTACCATAAATGTAACATTGGCTACTTTTGATTAAAAAACAGTCTATTCAATATGCCTTCATTAAAATGAACCAACAATGGGATCTAATTGTCCTCTCCTTAATAATGTGTATATATATATATATATATATATATATATATATATATATATATATATATATATATATAATCCTTCACAATTTTCTTTTCTCTTTTCTTAAATTTATGATAGGGAAATATGCTATTTCTTCATTGATGCATTAAAAATTCTTCAGGGGAAAATAGAAAAGAAATATTGAGCCTTTGTCAGTAAGGGTCCTATTAGATATACCTATAACTAGGTATTTGGCTCTATGTAATTATGAATAACCTTAAGTAATTATTCCTTTTGCCTGAAGCTTTGACCTGAGGCTTTCATAAGATTAGAAAAGGGTATTAAGATTAACATTACTAACTTGTCAGCCATTGTTGATAGAACTTTTGAACAATGTTTGGATAGAAATAACTGATAGTATTATTTTGTTTTTGTTGTGGATTATGCATTGTGATACATGAGCTAATAACAAAATGCTTTAAACTTACAAATGAAACTATTTTTGTAAGTAACTATACATTTTTTTTTTTTTTTAAGGCAGGTGAAGAATGCCACTGGACACTTTTATCTGTGGCCAGTGTGAGGAGAACTTCAATGACATCCAACTTTTCATTATTCACAAAAAAGAATGCATTCCTATCACCACTTCAGCAGCTCCGATGGTGGCTGAAACACCTTCAACACCATCCCTTGCAACAGAAGAAACGGCTGTCCAGATTCCTGATGCCTTGGAATATACAGCAGGTAAATCTAGTTAATTGTTTATCTGAACTTAGTGCTTAAAAATTTACTTTTATTTCTTGAAATTTGTATAATTTGGAGAGTGAGGCATGATTAAATGTCACTGGAGTTGTGAACTAAAGTTCCCTTTCTTCTTTTTTTTTTTTTTTTACTATACTTGAATTCATTCTCATTTTTACTTGTATATTTATTGGAACTTTTAACTCTAAAAATGAAAAAATCAAAGAAAGTTATTGGTATATTCAGTATCTAGAAGTCTTTTATAAGATGCACCTGAAAATAAAAAAAGAATATCACAATATTATGCTATATTCAATGTGTTGTCATTATAGATATGAAGTCAACAGTGAGTAATTGATTTAACAATCAAGATATATGATTGGTCTTATTAATATTTCGGTGTTTATTTACATCATCCTGAGAACAACATGAATAACTTTTGCTACCTATTAAGATTTTTATAGTTAAGCCTTTTATAAACTGGCTTTATAAAGGGTAACTGTGAGTTCGTCAAGTGAAAATAAAAAAAACACAAGTCAACATTCTGATGACTGGATAACAACTAACTTTTATTTCAAGATTTTTTGTGTGTGTATGCATGCGCACATGTCAGTATTTATGCGATGATGACCAGAAGTACATCAGCTTTATTGATGAGGTCACAACAATTTTAGTGAGCAATAAAAAAGAAAACAAAAAAACAAATTCATCTTTTTGGGCAACAAATATAGTAAATATTTATTTTAAAATTTGAATAGTACAGCAAACTCTCATAGATTATAATAAATGCTGTTTCTATAGCAAATGAAAAAAAACATTTTTTCTTTTACATAATAATAATCTGATATTTGATATCTTTTTCTCTGATAATATTTATATTTCTTAGATGAAATATTGTTAATTATTATTAATTTTCTATGAATATTTCCTTCATTTTAATTTCAGTTGTTTTTCTTGTAACACCTAGATCACAATTGCTAATTTTTAATCCATGTTTCTTAATACAGTCATGGAAGATTGTGATAAACAGTTAATTAAATTAAGATCATTGAAATACTGGTCAAAAATTATTTGTTACTCATTTTTATCACTATGAGAAATTAGTATGTCAGTGTGTATATACTCATTTAGATAAAACCTATTTTCACTGAGAGCAATATTCAGGAACTCTCATGATGTATTGAATTCTATATCATGGTTGTGGAATCATTACATGGGGCTTTCAACTGTTCTATTTTTCAAAGGCTAAACTCCAAATTTAAGGCAGTGTTTTTTAAAAAAAATTTTTTTTATTTGGTTTTAGTCTCATAATGATCATGTGCAATCTTTTTTTTTTCTTTTCTTTTTGATTTTGAATAAAAGCATCTGAAGCTATCTTGCACCTTTTTATAAGTCTACCATATGTCTGTGCATTGAAGATTGCTACATCTGGTATTTTTAATATGCATTTAGAGATTATTGACAAAATCCAAAGAATTTGGCATCTAGGCTTTAATCACTTTCCCACCACAGTAATGTAGCCTCTCTGTACCTTTTCTACAAATATCATGGCAATTGTTCTGATGTGCTTCTCTTTGGTACCTCAACTTTACAAATTTATGCATAGTACGAGAGTGGTAGTTTGGTCCCCTCATTTTACTGTTGAAATTGCTAAATATGACTAAGTTATATTCTAATAGTTTCTTCTTTTTTATTCTAGCCTATGGAACTCTCTTCCAGATTCTTGTTTTCCTGTCAAGTACAATCTTCAAAAATGTTAATATAATGTCAATCATCATCTTTTGTCTCCTTAAATCTTGTTCTTTTTGATGTTCTTTCTCCTCAGTAGAATTTTCTCAGTTTCCTCCACTCTGTTGTCTTTCATCTTCAGTAATGTCTTAGGGGTTTTTTTTTGTGATGCCCACGAACACTTGCTGCTACTTTTGTAATGTCAACAAATACTCATTGTCACTTTCGTAATGCTCATTGTAATAGAGACTTTGTAATCGCAGATACAACCATAGTAATGCCTTCAAGCATTACTGGTGTCAGATGCATTCGAATAATACTTGCACTAATAGTACTTGCTTGATAGTACTCGCTTGAATAGTAACCACCGAATAGTGATCCAAACAGAAATCCATATAATGATCACTTAGGTGCCACACTAATTCCCATGTATACATTTTCTTTACCATCATGTGATCTACTTATACAAAATGGGATCACCTGTGTTTGGTCTCTGGTGATCTGTGTTCAAATTCCAGTGTTGGCAGGAACACTTTATTCCTATATAAACAGTTTTTATTACCTTGCTTATGGTGAAATGATAAATAAATACTGAAATTTGATTAAACACATTTTTAAATTAAAAGAAAATCATCAAATTCTACTTGTTACTGTTTTGATTTTCATTCATACATATACTTGGGAATAACAATTTGCTGTGATTGGATAATGTTATCATCAGTTTTATTTCTTTCATTGATAAATTAAAGGAATGACCAGAACATATAGGGTGGCGACACTTTATAGTAACAAATTAAAAAAAATAATTTAGAGCTCAAAACATTACCATATTAATAATAATAATAACAACTTACAATAAGTTTATATAGATTTTTTTCTTAGTCTTGTTAATTTGTTATCTACTTAACCTGACAGAATCCAGTCTTTCCAAAAAAAAGTTAAATTGGTTGGTGAGGGGCAGGGGTTAAAATTATTTTAAGGTTTGATTGAAATTAAAAAAGGAAAAAGAAAGGAGCAGTCACATTTATAGAATTACATGCAAACAAGAAAAATATTAAATCCTATTGTCCTCAGTTGTCATCTAGTTTTATATCTGTGTTTTGTGTCTTATTTATTTATTTATTTTTTTTCATTCTCTCATTGTAGTCGAGGGTGCAGTAAACGTTAATGTAGATTCTGCTGATTTACTCTCTCAAGTGGCTCAGGCAGCCATGGTAACTGGAGACGATTCATCTAATACCAAAGCTGTTGTGATCATCACTTCTCCAGAGGCTGCCGACACCACAGCTGCTGTACAGCCACTTCTTGAAGCCTTGGAATCTGTCAGCGTCGATCAGCTGCAACCAAAGACAGAGATATCAAATGCTTCCACTGTCAGCACTGTTACTACTCCAGCTGTAACTACTACAACTTCAACAACTACTACTGCTGCTGCGACACCTATCACCAGTATCATTACTACGGCTACCACCTCCACTACCACTACCACTACTACTATGATACCCTCTACCTCAACAGGTATATTACTTTATTTGTTAATCATAATTTGAGGGTGAAATTATGACTGGAAATAAAGTAGGCAGTATATTGCTGTTTCTTTCACTCCAGTATTTTTGTTTACTTCTAAAACAAACATACAAACTATATTCTATACAGATTTTAGAATAGAAGACCTTGTCCATAAAACAATTTTAACCATTACCACGTTAATTTCTTTCTAGAATTGTTCACCTTGCACATTTTTTTTTTTCTGCAAAAGAATGAACAACTAACTATTATAACTTTCTTTGTATTGTGCACATAAATGTTAATTTTTGTAAACTAATAAAACGATGAATGAGTAATATTTTGATGTAATGCATTATGTTTTGCATGCATGTTTTGATGTTGAAAACAAAAAAAATTGAAATGCAAAATAAATAAAAAAAGAAACAAATACATTAAAAAATACATAAATAATTCAATGTAAATTTAACTTTTATTACTCCTTGTGGAGTTCTGGGGATGCAATAAGAAGCAAAATTGCTAAGAAGGCTTGAATTTTGTCAAAAAAGTGGTGTGTTTCCTCGTGTTTAGGATATACGAGAAGACACAAGGATTTTGTTTGCTCTTTTTTTCACCCGACTCATATTTATTTTTCTCATTGACTAATAAAGTTATTTAGTTTATAAATAGACAAAATAATTCACCTTCAGAAAGGGTAACAGGTATATCGATGGTCACCAGTTGCATCCATAAAATTAGCCAGGCATGAATGATAATAGCCATGAGAATAGTAAAGGGAGAAAATTCTACAGTGATTATTGTTGCTTGCAGTGTGGTAAAGGCTAAATAATGAAAGTAACTCCTTAAAAACATGTCTACAGGCAATCTATATTTGATTTAACAAACCAAAGTTATGATTGGTTTTATTAATATTCATTGTTTGGTAATGTTCAACCTTTATGCCTGCAAAAAAAAAAAAAAACCAACCCAGTGTGTCAAAAGGATAGTTATTCCCTTGACACCACTATTACACCATTTTGGGGGGCTCCCTCAACATTGTTTATTTACAAGATTGTAAGAATATGTGAATTAAGTACAATGTGATATTTATTTACCTTTTATAAATATTTATCATATACTGTTTTATAAGAAACAAATTTGAAAAATCTTTTTATTCAACAGTTTATAAAAAAAAATTACAAAATTATCAAAATATGTAAACCAGCAGCAGTTCAATATTTGTGGTAAAAAATTAGGCATAAAACATGAAGAAAACTTTGTCCATTGAAAAAAATAAGGAGATACACTCAAGAAATATTGAGTGTTTGTATTTAACCCATAGCTTGGAGAAAAATATGGGTTTGTACTTTTTCCAAGGGTATTTGTGCTTACATGAATGTAATGAACTCTGGTCTCTGATTTTTTTCATTCCAAGTCACTGTCCATTATGCTATCCACACAAATAGTTCAAAAGTAGTAAAAAAAAAAAAGGGGATGTTTTGTCATCCATTTTTTTTATTTTTGTTTGTTAAATATTAACCCTTTCCAGATTGAGTTTATTTTTAAATTTTACAAGTTTTAAGTTAACTGAAATTAAAATTAGTTGACTATCTACATGAGTCCACCTGTCTATACAATATACAAGGTAAATCCCTATTTTATGTATGATGGACTCTATCATCTAAATATAATTTTTACAAGATGGGAGAGTCTATCATACAGAAAATATTGAGGTACTTTTCAATCACCCTGTATATACCCAGTAAGATTATGTCTAATCTAGATGTTAGACAAATCTTTGGTCATTTCTGTGGAAACCAGATGCACTAAAACATGCACCTCCCTTTTATGGTTGACTATCCAATTCAAGCCAGTCTGTCCAGAAAAGGGGTTAATCATTTATAGAACAACCTTTGTTCTTTCTCAATCTTTGCCATGACAATTTTGATATTCCAGTGGTAATTTCAAGCAACATTTCTATTATCCAGGCATTGTTTTGTTTTTATGAATTTTAGGCAGAGATATTTTCAGAAAAAAATAAACCTTCCAGTATAAATCTATTAACATATCCCTCTTTAATGGTGCAGGGTGTTATGAATAATCAAGAGTGGTCTCCCCATGTTTCATTACTCTCCTCTCTATTTCTTTTTACTGGGACTATAAAAGGACACTTACTATATGCGAACTTTGTATTCTCAGTTGAATAAAGCTTTCTTTAAGTCTACACCTGTGTACTTTCATTATTACACAGTTTTTATTTTTCATAATTCATTTATATTTGGCTGGTAATGATTTTTTTTTCCTTAGGAAGGACACTTATCAAACAAATTTTAAGTTTATTTATATTTATAGGTCGGCGTCGTGGTCGACCACGCAAAGGAGAAGAGAAAAATGTCCAGAGAGATGCTGTACCTAAAGAACCAGAGAGATTACCAATTCCTGATAAAGGTCAGGTTTCTTCTAATTTTATTTTGAATATAAATATGAGGAAATATTTGATTGGGAATTTTTGTAAAATTGTAAACTGAGTTTTTATATCACTGTCAAAATTAAACTGATTACTCTTTTTTTGCTCTTCTTCATTTCTCTCTCTCTATCTCAGTAAAGGAGATAAGATTACATTCCTCAGTAGCTTTTTAAAAAAAAAATATGAATTATAAACTTTTTCATTAATTTTATCAGCATAAAGAAATATTGATACTTGGACAGCAAATAACTAAAATAATTCTTGAATGAGATTTTAGCTTCTTGCTATCAACAATTTCCCAGGTGACAGTTTCACATGAAACTTGGTATAACTTCAAAACCCATGTCTAAATAAGAATTTGTGTTCTAGTTTGTCTTTTTTGTTTTGTTTTTTCTTACAATTAAAATTACTTTAGTATCTGCTTGCACTGTTCACCTTAGCTCTTTTATTTCATGTTTGGTAAGCGTAACTTGCATTGTAAAGATTAGTAATAGATTACATTGTACTAATTGCAGGGAAGATCCTTTGACTTGATGCCACTTTTCTCTATCAACTATTATGACTATTTTGCAAGTGTCAAAATCTTTACAAAACAAAATTTTAAATTGTAATTTTTACCCTTACAGAGCAGACATATTGTTTTTTTATTATAATTATAGATACATATTTATAAAAGTAATAATGTTCTTCAGTTTTTGTTAAAATAATAATAATGCTCTTAAATTCTTGTTCTTAATAATGATGCTCTTAAATTCTTGTACTTAAAATAATAATGATGCTCTTAAATTCGTGTTCTTAATAATGATGCTCATAAATTCTTGTTCTTAAAATTTGGGGCATCACTCTCATCTACACATTCTTATTTGATGTTCTCTTAAAGGGGATTTTAAAATTTAGCAATAATCATTTAACTAATGTCACTTCTGTTTTTATTTAAAATATTTTTCCTTCTGCAGGCAAAGATGGCAGATATCACTGTGCCAGATGCAAGCGAGCTTTCACCAAGGAGCGTTATTTTATCACACACAAATGTCTAGCCTCTTCTGATTATGTTGATATCTCTAAGAAAGATGTGGTCAAAATCGAAGGTATATATATATATATATATATATATATAAACCTAAATTTTTTTTCTTATATTCTTTACATTTTAGATTATTATTTTTTAACTCTAACTTCGTTTTTCAAAATATTCGTATTAAAATTATGCATGTAATAAAATTAGAAGTAACAAAATATTTGCTAGTTTTATTTGCTCTGCTTTAATTTAATTTTCTGTTTCTGATTGAAAATCACAAGAAGTTAAGATTAATGATCTCTGTTACTTAAAGTGATAGAGGAATTTGTGTTTGTAATTTAATACAGTTTTTAAAAATCTGCAGAACTATGGTTTCTTGTGTAGGGGAAGACATTATTAATTTGACTAATACACGCTAAAACACACACACACACACACACATATATATATATATATATATATATATATATATATATATATGAATTTCTCGTTAATCTGTAGAAAAAGACTATGTATAAAGAAAAAAAAAGACAATAGGAAAACTGTAGTTTTAGCTGATGTGTTTCATCCAATGTGGACTTTTTCAAGGCAAAAAATGAAATGAATTTATTGAAACAAAGTATCTTTAAACTGTGTAACATGACATCTAGGAAAGGAAAAGTGTTGTTGGTTTCAGATTCAAAGGTGAAATCTATTGTAGGTTCAATATTGTTAAGTTGGTTGACTAGAAACAATAACAAACTTAATCTTGATGCTTATAGAAAAGCTACCAACAAAAATGACCTGGTCAATTTCTACTCAAACCACTCTTCTAAAATCTGCAATTATTATAGGTTTCTATTTGAGAAATTTAAGAATTTCTATTAAGAATTTGCAACCCCCAATATTTACGTAAAGAAGAAAACACATTCAAAAACCTACAATACCCATATTATTTCATCCACAATGCAAGAAGAAAGGCATACAAAATATACAACTGCAACAAAAATAACATCATCCATAATAATAAATCATATGAAAACAGATACATAATACCACTGACCAACTCCTTCATGTCCACTATCTAGAACAACCTATCCCATCTAAACAATATCCAACTAATCACAAACACTTCCAAAACTATTATGGATATAATCAGATCCTGAAACAGCTATAGCAATAATATTTCTGAAGCAGGCATATATAAAATAAATTGCCAAAACTGTTCCTCACAATACATTGGAAAAACACGCAGAAATTAAAAAAAAACACATCTATGAGCACAAAAGAGAACATATAAATAAGAATTTAACAAATGCACTAGTCATACATAGAAATAAATTCAACTACAATTTTGATTTTATAAATGCTACACTCTTAAAAAGAAAGAAAATAATTCACTCAGAAGGAAAACCCTTGAGTGCCACTATTGAATATTATCCCAGGTTTCTTCCCAATATCACCTTTCCTAACAAAATCACAAAAACGTTTGAATCTGTCAATACAACAATACAAACAATATTTCTACATGTGAAAATATTCTCTTCAAACATAAAGTAATTGACGTAATTTTTCAGTTGATCATATGAATATACAATAGCGTTTCTAAATTCTTCTAGTTGCTAACAACATTTTATTTCAATAAATCCATTTCATTTTTCCTTTTTTGCTCATTAAAAAAGTTTTCCTATTCATTGGATACATAAATACACACACGTGTGTGTATATATATATATATATATATATATATATATATATATATATATATTGCATTGAAAATGAGATGGTAATGATTATCATTTGTTAGGAATTAATACAGGTGATAATGACAGAATAGTTATTACATTTATAATCTTCATATTTTAGTATATACCTTCTCTAATTTTTAGATGAGTCATTATTCTAAATTGTTTGTTCTTGTTTGTTTTGTTGCTTTTGTGATTAACACAATGTTTCAGTTCCATTCTACATTTTATAATCATTAGAGAAAGAAAGAACTTTTTTTTTTTTCCCCAATCCCAATTTGACCAAATTTGTTTCTCTGATTGATATATTTCTATTTTGTACTGATAGGAAGGAATTCCATACTTGATGTATGGATGAGCTCAAGCATTAAAAAGAATGAGATTGGGCACTTCAACGTGGTTTAATGGTTAGCAAGTTTATTTCACTATATACGTTGCAACTGAGTAATGAATTCCACCCTAACTGCTCCATACTTACAGCCTTCTCCCATATTTTAGCTACACTTAGTAAATCACAAAGAATGCAATCAATATTTCAAACAATTCTTGCAATTGGTTTTTATGGTTAAATCTTAATTGTATAATGATAGTGCAGTATTTTTCACACGTTAACATTATGAAAGAATATTGACACTACCTCAGTCATTGATTTTCTTTTGTTATAAATCAAATCCTTTGTACAAAGCGCTTTTCTAAAATGTTTTCAATGATAAATTTATATTTGCTCTTCCATGTGGATTTGAATTTGTCAACTGCTTAGTGTGTTATCTACTTCTATAAGTTTTTTTTTTATGGGAATATTTCACAATACATGAAATAATGGTGGTGAAAAAGGTACATGCACAAAATAAATAGACCAGTTGATTTGTAAAGCAAGATAAATTATTAAACAAAATGAACAAAAGGAAAATTTAAAACCAGAATTTCTTTTCCAAGAAGTAAATTGTATACACAATGAAATATTCATGAATATATGAGTGGGATTTACTGTGTTGATGTGTTTGTGGGTGAAGCATTCACAGCTCTTTTAGCTTCAGTGCGAAAAGTTAGTGTCACATAGTTCAAAAGAGGAACACCCAGGAAGAGAGTTATTTAAGCCTTTGCTTGTTTTTATTTTCCAGGGCTGCTACTACTACTACTACTACTACTACTACTACTACTACATTTAAAGGCACTACAACTGCATAATAGCCATTTTTTATTTACAAATTGGTATTATACAACTAATAATTCTAACTAGTATTTTAACTAACCTTGAAACTAACCATTGCTAAATGATAGTGTCTGAGAATAGCATTTTCAGTTGATAATTGGACTTTGTTGTTTAATTCTGCAACAATTTTAAAGTTTTAGATATGTACCTTTTTTTTAATAAAAACAAAAATGAATAAAATTCTGCTTTATTAAAACTTGTTCTTTTTAATTTTATTTTTTGGGATGAAGGCGATGAGAGTGAAGAAGAACCAGAAGAAGTGGTAGCAGTTGGAGATCAGGAAGAGTATGAAGCTCATACCTCTGAAGAAGATGAAGGTGCTATTACTGACCTTACTGCAGCTGCTATTGCTGCTACAAGCATACACCCTAATGACACAGCTGATGTTGAGAGCCAGTGTTCAGTACAGATGTCGGCCAATACTGATATAGATAGCAATGAAGACAAGTCTAAGAATCACATTCAGGACATACCTGTCTTTAATACTGAAGAAGAGAAAGTAGCTTTTGAGCGAAGCCTTAATGTTGACTTGAGTGGCGTAGATCACATGTTTCGTGTGCATGTTATTGAGCAGGACTTAAATGAGAATGCACCAGCTGCACCACGTGCAGGGACTTTTGGCCTATCCTTGTACTCCTGTAACACATGTGACAAAGTGTTCAAAACTTTGTCACATATGCGACTACACTGTCTTATTCATACTAACCTAAAACCATTCAAATGCTCCAAGTGTTCATATGCATCTAATTCTAAAGGTAAGTAGGATTTGTTTACATTATGCCATAGCCTATGAAGAATTTGAATTAAATTTATACAGACTAATTCTATAATTTTGTGAAGAGTAGTTATCGTTCCAAGAATTTGTTGTATTATTGAACTGTTACGGCCAATTACCACAGCACAAAGTTTAAAAAGAAAAGATAAAAACGGCAACTTGTTGTCTAAAAGACACCCAGGTTTACCACTCCACAGTGGAAGGATTAAGTTCAGTGTCAAATATACGATTTCAGAACAATAACCAGCAGTGACCATCGACAAACATCAATATACAAATTAACAAGATTTAATTACAACCTGACAATACATAAAAACATTTAATTATAGGAATGTGTGCTATACATTTCTACGTAGGAAGATACAGGTGTTATTTTATGAAGGCAAAAGTTGAAACAAAAATTTAGCTTCAGTTTCTCTTCTAAAATAAGGTTTTCTTTCTTTTCCCTTATCTCTCTCAAGTAGTGGTGGCCTTTGATCCATTCTTAATTCAACATTGCATCCATTATCTGGGCATTTAGTTTTGGCACTGCAGAAGTCGTACATTTGGTTATGAAGATTTGATGCTGCATAAGTCATAGGTTTAGCTGTGCAGAATTCATGTTTTGGGTCCTTCGTCCAATTAAGTATATCACATATGTGTTTCTCAGGTGACGGTCACGTTTTGCCATTCACCTATGCCCTTAATGTAAGCTGCATAGTGTTAAGTTAATTGGAATTTGTCTCTCACTTGCTTGATTGTAACAAGTAAAAGTGGAATTGTCTGTGCAAGACTTGTTTCCATTTAATTCTGTGTTGGAGTTTCATGTGAGTTTGGGGGTCATTATTCCTTCGCTTCAATTTGGAAAGTCAATTTATATGAGAATTTAACATACAATTTGTTTCCTTTAAGGTTCGTTACCCAACTTAGTTATGTCTATCTTTCCCACCTGATCATTGGTATCTAGTCACATGATTCATCAAGTGCATGAAAATCTATTTGGCTTCCATCTGTTGCCATGTTCATCAGTCTGACCTAATTGTCTTTGCACACAGACTGCTATTACATACCAAAAGAGAGAGGGGAAGAGTTCACATATTACTAAAGAAATGGGAAAGAGAGATGGGTCACTAAGTGCAAAGTTTTCTGTGGTATAGGTGGGGAGTTGCTGAAAGCCGTAACAGAACTTATTCTTTGTATATATTCTCATACTTACCACATTTTAGTTGATCCACTCTACAACCTTCTTCATGTTTACAATTTGTAAGGAAAAGAAACCTCCCTTTCCTAATTGATGATTCACTTACAAAAGGTTATAGAATTGATCAAGTGAAAAATTCTGGTAATGACTAAACCAATAGAATGCGTTCAATGATCCAGACAAATCTTAAAACATAAAAGTCAGGAGTCTGTTAAAAAAAATGTAATTTTTAATTACAAAAATTTATCATAGTACACAAAGCATATGAAAATGAATACCAAAGTCTTAAGATTTTAAATTTTGTTTTTCATATAGTCTCCTCCTTCCTTCTCCATTGTGGCATTCCGCTTTTGAATGAGGAAATGTCAATCCATCTTGAAGAAGTGTCTTTGCTAATTTCTTAACCATGTTGCCCATTTCACCTCATCATCATGTTGGGAAACAACTATCCTCTGCTTTTTCATGAGGTCTGTCATCCTTCTGGAAATGTGCTTTGAACAAACCTTTAGGTAACCAACAGACCATACTAAACTGTAGACACTATCATAGCTTGCCTGAAGTTTTGCACTAGTGATTCTTCTATCGGCTGTAGTAAGATTATTGACCTGTTTGGCCTTATTCTCATTCACAGAATCAGTTGACCTGCCACTGTGGGGCCTGTCACATTATGGTCAGTTTCTTCCTTTTCTTGAGGATTAACTAACTATACTGACTCTTCTTCTTCCTGTGATTGCATCAAATGCACTTCTTCCAAAAACAAAATTTCTATGATAGCTCTTTGCTATCTACAGGCCTCCAGAGGAGAAGCAATTTTGTTGTTAGGAAACTAGATGGTGTCTTCACAAATTTCAAGATATTTTATGGTTTACAGCTAAACAGCTCCAATCCTGATGAATACTTTGAGAATTAAATTAGTACAGGCATTGTACATTAAAAATATCAAGTTCTTATGTGTGTCAATAGAAGCAATGAACTTTTATATACTTTTCTACTTGTATTGAACATTTACTTAAACTCTTTTTTATTCTTGTTTGTTTTTTAGGTAACTTGTATACGCATATGCGTAAACACACAGGTCAGTTTTATATCTGCTCCAAGTGTCCATTCAAGACTGTCAATAAGAGTCATCTACTGGAGCATGAAGCAACCCATAGCAAAGTTCGGCACCCCTGTGAAATGTGCAAGAAGGACTACAATACTATCAAGTCACTCGTCAATCATGTACGCAAGTATCATAGCTCGTCAAAGAAAGGCAAAGAATACTTGGCAAAATTCTTGCAGGGGCGCCAAGATCGTGGCACCACTGTCATTCACCAATGTCATGTATGTAACCGTAAATTCAAGAAGAAGATTGACTGTGACCGGCATTTGTTTGTACATGACATTAAAGACATTCCCAGTGTGCAGCATTGTGAGTTGTGCGACTATTCAGCTAGTCGAAGGATTTATCTAGAAAAACACTTCCTTAAACACCGGGTTATTTATTGTTGCTGCTTGTGTCAGGACAAGTTCTTAAGCACTGTTAGACTATTAGAGCACATTAACAGTACTCATGTTGATGATATTTCTGAAAGGACAAATGAGAGTATTTTTGAGCAGAGTATTGCTTCATCACTTTACTTACCTGAGCCTGATGATACTTTGCCTGACCAGGACAAGGAGTTTGACAATTTACCCCCGGAGTTGTCTGCTGTTGCCATGAATAACACCAAAGATGATGGAGTGACAGAACCAATGGAGACATCTTTGACAACATCTTCCACTCAAACAAGTTCTGCTCCAGGTTCTTCAGGATCTACAACTACAATGACAAATTCAGATGTGATTTCAGACAGAGTTAATATGTCTGGGGACCCCATGGAAGTAGAAATGCGTGAAGAGACATCTAATGCTGCAAAGGATGTTGAGGCCCTGGGAGAGAATTTGCAAGAGCCAAATGAAAAGGGTGTAAGTGATATGGATACTTTTGAAAATGGTGACCTTGGGAATGTAACGGTCAAAGTAGAAGCAAAAGAGAGAAGTGATTATTCCTTGAATATTACAGATGGAAATGAGCTTAAAACAGCAAGTGAGATTGACACTGCTGCTGGAAATGTTATGACTGATCAGGAAAATTCAAATTCCAAGAGTGAAAAGGATTCTTCTACGTCTGTTTCAAACACGGTGAGGGTTGGAGAAGAACGTTTGAAGCTTCAAAACAATAGTTCAGAGACAGGAGAAATTGAGAATGGGGAAGATCTGCCCAGTGAAGATGAGGATGCAGGCAAGTCATCCAAGGCCTCGGATATTATCAAGAGGCTTGGTTATCGCCCTCTCTCTTTGGAAATATTTCAGAAGATGAGGCAGACTTTTGGGACTGAAGAATGTGAATTCTGTGGACGTCTTTTCTACAATCGTGCTGATTATGAACCACATGTGCGAACTCACACAGGTAAGTGCAGTTTATGGCTGTTGGCAAATATTGGGGTTTGGTAACTATGTAGATATACAATACTGACCTCAAAGAGATAATAAGACCGCTTTAATATCTTCATATGTTATTTTAAAAATAAGGCTTGTTAGTGATTATATTTACATAACATTAATTAATGATATGTGGTAGTTACCTAATTATCATAGTTAGCAAGCTAATCTTGCAAACCAATTCAATAGTTCTGTGCATTCAGTTCTCACTGGGTGCTCTTGTACTGGGACCTTGTATCAGACTACAGTATACCAAGTAAAACAATTTGGCCATCTCCCATTGCAAAATAATTTACAAGCTTGTTATTCAGAGACCAGTATGATAGTTTAACAAGTTTCAGCCTCACTTAAATTGACATCTAAAATGCATCCTTGTTTTACACCACTCAGAATTATGAAAGGCATTGAAGTTTCCCCTGCATGTTCTAGTGAAAGGAGATGATGATAATCAGTAACTGGGAGACAGTCAATTTTCTCCAGTAGCTGAAACAGTGCTTTCCTGCTAATAAAGTCAAACGCTTTTAAAAGTGATCAATAAAGGCAATGTATAGTGGCATCTCTTATTCACAGTATTTCTCCTTGAGCTGCCATAAAGAGAAGATCTTATGAACTGTAGCCCTAAATTCACACTGGGATTCTGGATAGATGTGATCAGCAAGGATGTAAAGTTAAAACTACTCAAGCAAAGACTTTTCCAGCAATGCTTAACAAGGTGATACTATAGTAATTGTTGTATCCTTAAAGACGGTTACAAAGGTGGTATTCAAGTGAAAGGAACAGCAACACGGGTGTAAATGAAAGAAAGTAGTTTATTGTAAAAGAGAATACACTACTGAAAGGGAATCAGTTAGAAGGCTTGTAATTCCTAAAGCAAGTCTGCCAGGTATATCCTGTATTTACTTATATATATATCTACTGATATAATCAGTCCACAGAGGTGATAGGATGTGTGGGGCATTCTATTTCAACAGTAATTATTGCATTCATTCCAGTTGCCCTTGTTTTTATACAGGGTAATAATTTCTCTTCAGCAGAGGCTCAGGTGACTGTGGAGTGTTTTCAGTAAAATTGGCATACCACATTTGATGATCTCTGATAATATGACCTCTTCACTCGGTGCTTTTCCACAAGCTAGAGCATCAATGGTTTTGTTGAGCTCTTCCTCAGTAGCTTCAGAGTTCAGCTATTCTCGGCAGATCCTGAATATCATTGCTTCTTTGGTGAGGCAATTTTCTCTGAAATAAAATTCAAGGTAGTGCTCTACCCATCATCTTAATTGTTTGTCTTTGTAATCGACTTCTCTGTCTTTGATTTCAGAGGCACAGTCTTCTCTATTAGATTGCCAGTTGCTTGTTTAATGCCCTCATAATGAGTTACAGGTGTTATCAGTGTCTGAGGCCTGTTGGATGTTATCTAACAGTTGGAGCCAGTAGTGATTAACCCAGTGACATGCACTTTGCTGTACCTTGCTGTGAGTGATTCTCAGAGCATGTAGATTTTGCTGAATAGGGTCACACTTTAATCTAATCATCATGCTACACTTAGCATTGATCCACGTATCTTGTGTGGAAATGTTAGCCTCAAACCCGTTTTTGTTCTTGTGCACCCTCTTGCCACCAAAGATGAAGACTGAAGCATCATAGATGGTGTTCCGAAGTGAGTGCCATCTGCCTTCCACACACTGTAGAAAGTCATTTGAAGAGTCTCTACAAGCATCTCTATGAACTTCTGGTTTTTATTTGGATAGATAGTCTTACTACTGTTAATTCTCAGCTGACCATTCTTCTTTGAATGGAGTTTCTTTGGTTTTAGCTTTACCTTGAGGAGATCAAGGAGTAGTCGGTGCCAATGATTTGACCTTGGGTGTCTCCAAGATGTTTTATGGCAAGCCTTGTTCTGGAAATAGGTGTTTGTCTCACACAATAGCAGCAGAATTCTAGAAGTCTTTAGTTATTCTCATTTATTTTCCCTATATCCTGGTGACCTAACATGCTTGGCCAGAACTTTTGATCTGCATCCACATTGAAGTCTCCAAGATGGTAAACATGTTTATATGCTGGGTTACACTTACTTGATGACACTGAAGTTGAGTGTAGAGACTGGTCTCTGACTTCAAGTATGACATAGTGTTATTTTTATATATATATATATATATATATATATATATATATATATATATAATTTAAATCATATCGTTTTTTTTTTTATTGTGCGTAGTGTTCACCACAAATGTATCCACATGTTTCCGGTGTCTGTTTTTTAATTTTAATCTTAGGTCAGCGAATCAGTAGTAATTTATGCATCTGAAATCTCGCTCATTTAAACCATTATTTGGCCTTGTGCCACATCTAAGTTACGCTTAAAAAATAACCATTTAAACCATTATTTAACTCCTCTCTTTAAAACTTTCTTCTGTTGAATTTTAAACCCCCCCCCCACCTTCACCTTTAGGCCTTCCTGTTCTTCTTTCTTCTGTTACACCCTCTTTCTAGTACTTTCATACATTTCCCTCTCACACTTGTTTCCCACTCATACGCTCTCACTAAAATTTTGTTTTTTATACCCGGAGTTATATTTTCCAATTTCTTTTTGAATTTTTACGTCTGATGAATTGGATCGTGATTATGATTCCAATGTAATAAATTATAAGCATGGAATATTAGTGTTTGAGCCTTTTATATTATTATATATATATATATATATTATACAAATAAGTGTATATCAATCTAACATGTTTCACTTTTATTAAAGATTTATCAGAGATTGTGATAAAATGGACAAAATGACAGAACTTTGATATTTTCAATTTTGTTTGGGTCACAATTCTTATTGGTCAGTCATAAATCACATGCATTAAAACTCTCTTGTATTCGTCGATGCATTCACAACCACAATTACAAATGCAGATTTGTGATCTAAAAACTTGCATCGACGAATACAAGAGAGTTTTAATGCATGTGATTTATGACTGACCAATAAGAATTGTGACCCAAACAAAATTGAAAAATATCAAAGTTCTGTCATTTTGTCCATTTTATCACAATCCTCTTCTAAACATTTTTTGGGAAGGGCCAAGAACTTTTCAGCACCCTTTTGTTTATATATATATATATATATATATATATATACTGTTACATTGAGTATGTGTCAGTACTGAAGCTGAGAGTAAAAGTAAATAAATAACTCCTAATAAGCAGTAATATGTCATTTAATTTGAAATTTAGGTAGGTAGTTAATTAAGAAAAGATACAATGTAAAAAAAATCTGTAGACAGGCTCAAACAAATTAGCAAGGTGATTAAAGGAAATATTGTCATTTGTCTAAAATTCTCTCTTGTTCAGTAAATGAATGTTTTTTTTTTTTTTTTTTTTTTTTTTTCAATTCTCAGCTAGCCCCAAACCAAATTTAAATATCTAGTTTATTTATGCTTTCAACTGTTGTCCGTCATCTTGTTTTATATTCTGTCCACAGGAGATAAGCCATTCCAGTGTGAAGTTTGTGACTATCGAGCCATCACTCGTGACAATTTGAAACGTCATGTAGAACGGGAACATGACAAGGTGACCTTCCCCTGCAAAGAATGTGAATTTGTTGCAAATAGTCGAACCCAGTTGTGGAACCATCAGCTGAAACATCGAGGTATCTCTGGTTTGGAATGTCCACAGTGCCATGAGAAGTTTGAAAAGTAAGTTGTAGTCAGCACTTAACTGACAATTTTTACATTCAGTGTAAAATATAATTATTTTTTTTTTTTTTTTTTTTTTTAACATTTTTCCACTTCTGTCATTGTAAATTGAATCTTCTGGTTTTTCACTAATATCAAAAGCATCTTCATTAGCATTATTCTTTTATTGAATTATACAAATTATTCTTGCTAAGATGTTCCTTGTGTACAGAGATTATGCAGAGAATTCTTGTCCAAAAACCTTTTTCAGTTAAAAAATAAGATGCAGGTTATAAATTCTTATGTCCCTATGATTTTAGTAATAAGTTCAAATATTTGTCCAGGCATTGTTTTTTGCTTTTTTTCTCTTGTATAGTCAATAATTATACAGTAATTTAGGTTTTACAGTAAGTCATTTGTTTATTTACCATTGTACTATTGTTCTCAACTTTGTTATTATCACTGATAATGACAAAAAAGATAAGGATATAAAATAATAGTAAATAACTCCTTATGCAAAATATTCAAGTAGAAAGTCATTTGCTTTTTGTTTTATTTATTGAAATTTTTTTTTTGCACTTTTATTTATTTTAATTTTTATTTAGATGAATATAATGCTATTCAATGAAAGGTAGTTTGTTTTTTTTTTTTTATTATGAACAAGATAATTCTCATGTTATTTCCTGCATGATTTTTGTCATTAAATTCACAAATTTTTAGAATAAGGTTAAAAATACAATTGGTTTTGAATTAAAATAATTTTGATTTAATAAAATTCAATTCCCAAAACATCTTAAATTATTTCTTAGTTTTATATAGCCTTTATGCTGTTTTATTTTATTCCATTATCTCTTGAATTATTTATTGATTAATATAGTTAATTCCAGACATGCTGGAAACATCTGCCTCTTTGCTCCCTAAACTCTTCTGTGGTGTTTTCTGACCTACAAAAGTTCATTCAGAATAAATTTATACAATCCACAAAGGAAGGTAATATGACATCATTTCTAATAGTGAAGAATAAACAATCACAGCTTTAAGTGACTTTGAATTTAATTTGATTCAGGAATTAGTTTTGAATCTTACATTTTATGTTGGTTATCTGTCAAAAAAAAATCTTTTGTGTATATCTCACTGATTGATTTGCTCATTAAAATTTCTGATAGAGTGAATTCATAAAAAGAAAATAATTGGTTTATAATCTGATAGATTTGATCAATGTGATGTGTTGGACGTAACAGATGGTTAATCCTTTTTTCTTTTTTTTTTTTTTTTTTTTTTTTTCAATTTTGAGAATATTTTATTCTAAATTATGTGTATTATTACTTGTTTTTATCAGTATTACTCAGTTGGAATGATTTCATTATTTATGTGTATTGTTATTCAGTTGAATTAAGTGAGTTTTGGGATTTTTATTGGTCAGTGTCTGAAATGGCTACCTTTTTAGTTTCATATAATTATTTTTTTCTCATTGTAAACCAGTCTATATTGATTTTTTTTTTTCTAGTTTACCACAGGAAACATTTCATAATAGACATTTTTAACTGTATCATTTGTCAACCTCTAAACTCCAGAAAATTACATCTCCGTTTTTTGACAAGTTGTTTTTGTTTTATAGCATATCAGCTTCAATGGGTTATTTAATGCCAACAAATATTTTATTGCTGGTAATATTTTTTCTTAAAAAATTTATTGCTGGTAACTTTTTACAAAAACATATTGCTGATACTAAGACCTATTTTTATGCGTTTATACTGGTTTGACTCCAGTTTGGGGGTTAACTATTTGTCCATAGCTGGGACCCCAACAGGTGCTACCACCCCTGATCAGAGGCCTTGCTGTTGGATGTAGTTTATCATCTTACCCAGGACAGTTGACAAGTTGAATTCTCAAACTTATTTTAAAATGTTTGAATCAATGTAAGGTCAAAAATGTGTGTGTAGTACTAAAATAGTTAAAGGTAGACCTTTTGCTAGATGGGTGAAAAAAATTATTTTACAATTATTAGAAATAAATGCATCTTCAGAAAAATATTAACCCTCAGGCTTCTCAGCTCTTCAACCTGCTCTATTAACAATATATGTGAGGAGTTGATAATTCATTTAGATGTTTTTTAAAAAACTTCTGATTAGAGGTTATTAGCATAATCTATCAAATCTTTTCCTGACTAACAAACTGGTACTCATCTATAGTAGGATGTTTTCTGATTTATACATTTTGTTTCTGAAATATCAAGAATCTGTTCAATATTATTAGCTTTTTATTGGAGAATATTTCAGCACAAATTCTTATATAATATTGTAAGAATGAAATGTTTATATAACCCCTGGCATCATAGATAGGATTTATTAAACAAATACATTAAAACATTGATTCAGTCTAATGATTATTTATAGGAAGAGATATATATATATATATATATATATATATATTTAGACAGCAATCTTTCATTTATACATGTTTCATTAAAGACAACAGACAAGGTACATGATTAAGCTTTTTATTTAATTTTTCTTGTGTTTGAACAAGTGTTTCTGGACGCACTGTGTAGAAACTGTCCAAATGTTCTGTAATTCTGAGCACTTTCAGCTATGCTTTTAGCCATTATCAAAGATGATTTTATTTTTGGTTTTTAATTAGGTGTTTCAGTCATGTGTAGGTTTCTAGAGTTATAGGGATGTTTCATTTTCCGAACACAGCACATTGTGACCATGTTCGTAGTTAATATTATTAAGTGTTGGTTTTTTTTTTTTATTAAGGTTACCATTATTTTCATTTTTTTTTTTTTTTTTTTTTTTTGTATATATATATATATATATATATATATATATATATATATATATATATATATATATATATATATTATATAAGTTCTGCTATATTTATGGGATAAAGTGCTCAATATCAGAGATAGAGGTCATGTAAATATAAAAGTGAATATTGAAGTCAACACTTAGAGGCGGCAGGATGTTTCATGCTAGACGCAATCATCAGCAGCCTGACGATTGCATCTAGCATGAAACAGACTGTTGCCTCTAAGTGTTGAGTGGGTGCAAAAATTACATGAGTAGATCATTCCCAGGGTTTTTTTTGTTTTTTTTATAGCTTGTTGAAAAAAGATGTACGAAAGGTAAACATTCATACTGGAAGTTGACCCATTTAATGTCAAAATAAGTTCATACAGAAAAAAACAAGGCCTTAAATGTAATGAAGTTGACTTTTACTTATGCTGAACATTATAATGCTTACTTTTTCTGTATAAATTTGCTAAAACCATCAAATGGTTAACTATTTTTCGAAGTCTAACATTTTGGTAATCACAATCTGGGCCATATGTTATATTGCTTGGAGCTCCATTGACATACATACATAGTGATATGGATATTCTTGACTGGAAAAAAATTTAGTTATAGAGATAAACTTGTATGGTTTTATTCTTGTGTGTTTTTCTTGTTTTGTTATGAGATTGGCAATATTGTTGAGAAGGAAAAGGATGTAAATTGTAAACATTTACAATGTTGTCAATCACAATCCTGACTTCTACATGTGAGCATAATCTGGGTCATATAATTTAATATCATTTAATGTGATACTTATCTGTTAAACAGAAATTTATTTTTTATGAAAATTTAATAAAATCTAAATTGTAAGTGAAATTATGCTAAACAACTAAATTGAAAACCTCTATCCCTTGGCCATATTGGCAATTCTGAAAATTTTGGGTTATGAATTTTACATGAGTAAAAGTTTTTTTTAATAACAAATTTTATCCGAAAAATCACCTGCATAAGTTATGCAGGTGTGCAAATTACATAGGCTTTAACAGTATGTAATCTATTATTATCCTATTTCACATTTGTTGCTATTTTTTTCCATAATGATGAAAAGTATGAATTGCGTCAAATTATCTTTATTAGTATCAACATTACATAACCATTCTCTTTCTTGTTTGAATGATGAAATGAATTTGATTCTTTTTGTCATGTGTTGATTCAGCTTAGAACCTTTCTTTTTAATTTAATTTTAATTTTCAGCTTGAAGAAGTTACGTAATCATATTCTGCTGAAGCATCCAATGATGAGCAAAGACGAGATACAACGAGTAACTGGGCTGGGGCACCGAATACAGAGAAAGATGGGTGAGTTCTCAATTTATACTTATATGAAATATAATGGTCTTTCCAGTTAGAGAAAAGAACTTGGCTTTCTTTTACAATATAAACGCTTCAATATAATATATTTTGACTTGTAGTAGTCATAGCAGCAGCATACTTAGTTTTGAATTGAAATCTAAAAGACTATACTACATTGGTAGTTATAAAGAATTTCTTGCTGGGTCATAGTTAATACATTTTATATAATACTAAGAATGGAAATCTAGATTGCAGGCTTTGACTTTTCTAATAAAATGTTACTTTCTTTTTAAATTAATTTTTTTTAATAGACAATTAAGACAATTTTCATACAAAGCTAGATTTATGACAGTGAGGGAATTTCTTTCACACTTGTATATTTGCCATCTCTTGTCAGGACATGGATGATCATGGTTCTGCACAGCTTCCTGTCTTTCTCTTCTATAACCCTCTTTGTCTTTGCAGTACTTATTCATCAATCCATTTGTTCAAACTTGTCAAGCAGGTTACTCATTACTTTCCTCTGCTTCATTGAATCCCTGTGAGTGTTAAATTCTCCAACCCTTCTTTCCTTATGTATCTCAAAAAAATTCCAGCTGTCTTTCTGATTGTCACCAGCAGTTTCTTTGTACTTCCCATTCTCCTTAAAGCTCCCATATTTGTAACATGCTCCGTTCATGGAATTCTCAACATTCATTGGTAGAACCATATCTTGGTTGCCTCAATTCAGGTTGAAACACCGGTTTCAATACAATCACTGAAGGTAAGCAATGTCAAGCCTGGTCAGTAGCTAGATGGGTGACAGCTTGGGAATGCTAGCTGCTGTAAGCTTGGATGTGCAGGTGGTGTAATGAATAATGACTCAGAAGTGTTAATCGGAGAGCTAAGCTCCAATTTCTATTGGATTTGTTATTTTCACTTCCACACAAATACCCTTAGGAAAGGTATGAATCCACATCTTCTCTCCTCAGCTATAGGTTAATTAGTAAGACTTGTATCACTAAACCATTATCATTTACCAAAGAATTGCTTACAATCTAAAAATATTTTCTGGCTTTAAATAACCTGCAAATGGTTGATAGCCGTAGAATCAATTGATTGGTTGCCTCAAGTCTTAAATTTTGAACTTGTCCAGCACTCATATATTTGTATAGATGTGTAGACATTATATAGTCATCTAATATATTTTTTTAGTACCTTAATCAGTTGCTAGAAAGTATCTTTTGGTATTTCTATGCAACCTTGAATTGTTGTTACATTTTCTGTTGTCAATTATTGCACTACCCAATAGTTCTCTTTTCCACACCATCTTGATTTTAATGTCCCCCAACATATAACACACATCTGGGCTGTTCCTTTTCTACATAACCAAACATTCCAACTTTTTACAATTATTGTCTGGTTCTTTCTTCTTACTTTTCATTGACTACATTGTCTAATAGTTCTTTTTGATTTTCTTTCTAAATCCGACATCAAGTCATTTGCATAATTTATGCTCTTAAGGTTAAGTCTGCCAATAATAAATACTAGTAGGTCTTCTAATTCTCTTAGAATGTCTCTCTGTACAAGTTAATTGCATCCAGTGAGAAAAACAAGTTCTTGTCAAAAAAAAAAAAAAAAATCCTTTTAGTCTGGTTCTGTGTTGTAACTGTAATGTGCTCAGTTGTTTTAAAGAATGGTGCAATTTTTATTTGTCAATATTTCCTCTATTCTCTCAATATAGGCTTCAACTGAGATTCTTATAAAAATATAATAAAGATGACTATAAAAGATAAAGATTTTATCTGTAATATCTAAGTTTTTTTTGTTGTTTTTTTTTGTTTTTTAAATAACTAATATCATGCCCATAAAAACCAAATTGACAGGATTATTTACATCAAGATTAGCACTTCTGATCAGTTTTGTATCTATGTGGTCTGTGATGTGTTTACACAAAATATACATTTTGTGTGTAAATACACACTGTATTTTATATGTGGATCATGTTTTTATTTTTTGTTTTTACTCCCCAGTGTTCTTTCCGTTTTTGTTAATTTCTCTAATTATTTTTATTTTTTTTATTTTTTATTTATTTATTTATTTATTTTTTTAAATCAACCCCAGGTCGTCGTTCATATAAGTGTCCATACTGTGACCGTGTTTTCATTCGTGCCAACTCTGAGTTACGGAAACATATCTGGATACATGAAGGGATCAAGCCATTCCGTTGTCCTCTCTGTCCACATGCTTGTCGTAGCAAGAACAATTTGCAAGCACATATGTTGCGGCACTCCAATGAAAAGCCATTTATGTGCAATGACTGTGGCAAAGCATACAAGTCTAAAACTGCTCTCCGGTGGCATGTTCGGTCACACAAAGATGGCAAACTCTTCAAATGTGATAAGTAAGTCTATTTATTTATTTTGAATTGGAATATATATATATATATATATATATATATATATATATATATATATATATATGTGTGTGTGTGTATGTATTTAGTGGCCAAAAAACATTATTCATTATATATATTACATTTCTTTCCTATTCTTTTATCAGGACTAACTATTTTTATAATATTTAATAATCTTAATTTTGTACAGCACAATGTGGAATAGGAAGATTGTGTAGTGGGAGGGTCTGGTTGCTTTTTAAAAAATTATTTTGAAATACTTTTTAATTGCAAATTATACCATGTATGTAAAAAAGTTCTCTGCCTAACCCAGTTTATAAAATGTAACTCAGTTTTCAACATCCCCTCCCCCTTATAGCAACACGAGAAAATACCAGACTTTCTCCTTCACAAGACAGGTTAGAGTTCTTTTCCATATTCTTTATTTTCATTATTGATCTGTAATGTCTTATTCACATGGTTTGTGTCTTCATCCTGAATATTTAATTCAGGGTGTTACAATTTTATTTTCCATCAGTATATTTGACCACCCCAAGTTAAATATCAATGTTTCTCTCATGAAAAAGTATGAAATGGCTGGGTACATCGGGTAGCCATTCATAAGAATAAATTAATATTAGAATAATTCTAACTAAGCAAAAATAGTTGAATGTGAGTGAAGCCATTAGCAAGTAGATAATGCCACTAAGATGTAAGGGGCTACTGAGAATGAAAGAGAATGAGAAGACTTTAGAAGGGACCAGAAACCCAATCCTAAACAGGAAACAAGACAGTGTTGCAGTTACTTCCATGATACAATTTGACAAAATTGCCAGAATATCATAATAATGCAAATTCACCTTTTTACCTTTTTGATTGATACAAAATGTCTTGCATGACATACAAATTAAATAATAATAATAATAATATATGAAATTATGGCAAATAAATTAATTTTTTTCTTTTTTTTTTTTTTTACTCAGAAAATGTAGACTTTATAAAAAAAATTTCATTTTGTCTTTCATTAAATTTTTACACTCTCTCTCTCCATCATTATGCATTTGGTATTTTTGATGGGTAATCTTCTCAAAGAAACATCTTTTATCATTTAATTATATTTAACTCATTTTTTTTCTTGGTACAGGTGTTCCTATGAAGCAACTCAGAGGAGCCACTTGAAGCGACATATGGAAACGCATGACATTGTGAAACGTTATGTATGTCAACACTGTGATTATTCTGCTAATACCCTAGGGTATATGAAAGTTCATTACACTCGCAATCACAAAGGCATGCAATACACTTGCAATACAGCCATTGAGAAGAGTACAAACACATCTGATTCCAGAGTATACCGTTGCCTTAGCTGTGACTATTTATTTGGTAATTTGTCTGACCTGAAACGGCACTTACGGATTCGACACCATGTTCAAGTGCAAGATATCCAGACTCTGGAGAATACAACAGCATCAGAACTGGTAAATTTTTATTCTTTTATACTTTAAACTTTTCTTTAAAAAAAAAAAAATGTAATGCATGTGTCTCTCACTTAAATGATTATTTCACCAGAACCTCTTTTTTTCCACTCATGTAGGTAAGAATATTACCTTTTTATTTTCTTTGACAAATTTTAAAAAAATATTTGAATAAGAAAAAAATTTTTTTTTTTTTTTTTTTGGTAATTATTTTGTCAGTGTTAGAATATTTGTGCTGCTTGATATACATTCATATTTAACACCTGATCTAGATGAAGATCCTATATTGGCTATATTATTTATTAGTAGCCACTGTCATAACTGACAAAGGTGATCTTCAAGAGTACTTGAATTTATATATTACTAGCAGGATCCATATAAATTACAAGAATTTACTAATAATTTTTTAATGCTGCAGCCCATGACCACTCACAGTTATAAGAAAAGTAACATAGTCTCTCTTAAATTTAGTGAAATGTCCAACAAATTATTTGGGCATAAAACATGATTTAATCCCTCACTACAAATAACTGCTTTTATTTAAGATGACAGCAATAATCCCTCTCTGTATCACTCTTTTTGCCTTACTCTCTTTTTTGTCTGTCCCTCTCTCACGCTCTCTCTTTCTTGTCCTCTCACACTCTCTCTTTCTTGTCCTCTCACACTCTCTCTTTCTTGTCCTCTCACACTCTCTCTTTCTTGTCCTCTCACACTCTCTCTTTCTTGTCCTCTCACACTCTCTCTTTCTTGTCTGTCTCGTCTCTCTGTCCCTCTCTTTCCCGCTTTTTGTCGCTCTGTCCCTCTCTTTCCCGCTTTTTGTCGCTCTGTCCCTCTCTTTCCCGCTTTTTGTCTCTCTCTCTTTTTTGTCTCTCTCTCTTTTTTTTGTTGCTCTCTCCCTCTTTTTGTCTCTCTGTCACACTCTCTCCCTCTTTTTGTCTCTCTGTTGCTCTCTCTCTCTCTGTCATATTTTGTCCCACGCTCTTTCTCACTCTGTTTCTCTCTTGGATGCTCAACACATTCTTGGTTTCATCAGTCTGCAACAAATTCACAAAGATTAAAAATAAAAAAATGGTTAGATTTTAATCTCAAAAGGTCATATTCAGTTGTTCTGAGATGAATTTGTCCTCAACTGATCATTAGGTCACAGAATGATTTAACCCCTTATTTCAACTACTTTTACCTAAGGTGACCCCCTGCTCCAATCCCACTTTTTGTCTTTGTTTTACTCTTTATATCCATCTCTCTTTCTTTATTCCTCTCAATATCTGTGATACTAAGCATGACACACACCATACATAGGTACAAGTAAATTATGGTTCCATGAAGTGTGCCACTTCACTCCCCAGCTGAGATGGTTAAAGGCCTCACCCAATGATTGATTAATAAATAATTTAATTAAGCACAAGTGATATATAGCATGTTTTATTCAATTGAAGCTTACAGTTGCTTGAATATAATATTGTAAATGGTTTAATAATAACTAGTAAAATACTTATGATTATAATAATTTTAGTAGTTACAGTTCATTAAAATTGGATTAATAATAGTATTTTTCTGTCCTTTAAAAATTTTTAACAAAACTAAGTCCATATTTTAAAATGATTTAGATTGAATGTATCAAATAATTGTTTTTTGTTTTTTTTTCTCTTTCCCAGGTTTTCCAAGTGAGTGAAGATCCTCCCGTATATACAGAAGAAGCCAATACAGGTATTTTGACAAAATATTATCCATTTATTAATGATGTTTAATTTTCCTTATGTTGCATGTATTTCATTCCAGATCATGCTAGAGTAGACTTTGCACTCTGTGTTCTTCAGAGAAACAGGTGCAGGGTTGACCTGACAGATGACCGTCTGATTGCTGTCGTGGATACCTGTGTGATTTGCACCTTGAATTAATATGTTGGGGAACATCAGTATCACAGATATATAAATACCCACCCCAGAGTGGAGAAAGACAATCTCACTCAAACATTGCAGATGAGAATGTATGATCCATGTTTCGGATGAGGGACCCAGGGCCACTCACATGCTGACTAACAATAGCTGACAAAGTACAGAGTTGAATAGAATTTAATATTAAATATGAGATTAAGTTTTGTGTTTTTATTAATTGACACAATAACTTCTTTACAATTAGAAGGTTTGTAATATTTAAAACTAAAAAGTGTCAATATCATATTAATGTGAAATAAATAGTTTAGCTAAGAAAGCCAATTCAAATATAATTCTAGTAATGATAATGTTTTTTTTTTTTTTTTTTTAACATTCTGTGGCTTTGGTTATAATTAACAATAGTTTTCTTTCCTTGTTGTACCTAAAGAGAAAAAAGATGTTTGGTCTGGACACAATAATGCATTTTACTCTTTCAAACTATTTTCTCTTTTCTCTCAGCTTTATGGGTTCTACTTAAAAATCATTTGGACACATCAAATGAGAAGCATTGTTCCTTTTAAGATGTAGACAATCATGTAGAATTCCTTTTCTTTATTTTCTGTCACTTGCCAAACTTTCTTAGAAAAGAAAGTGGAATAGTTTCCTGTGGCCTTCATGATAGTCCTTCTTCTAGACTGGCTGCCAATCAAAGGCTAAAGAACTTAGTCTACCTTGGTATTTAACCCATAATTGGGGGGAGAAGAGATGGATTTATGCCCTTTCTCAAGGGCATTAGTTCAACAGTGAATGCAATAGATTAGGCCAGATTTGGAACTCCTCTTGTTAATTCCACTTTACACTATCAACACACCTTTTCATGACCACTATCGGATCAAATGTTTCCATGCATTTGGTAATTATCTGTGAAATCTCCATTGTTATAACAGATTCTGTTTAATGTTTGTTTGGTTCAGGCTAATCAGATTTATCACAATAACGTTTACATGCAGACAGCCCGATCAATTAGTGGCAAAAACCATGAATTTTGCATATGGTTTTTGAAAAGCTCTTAAACTTGTAACTTTTATTGTGTGCAGTCATGTAATAATTAGTCTAGTGTTGAGGATTCTAAAAAGGAAAATGATGTTACAAAAATGAGGAGTATTAAAATTTTGTTTTGTAAAGATGTTTCGAAAAAAAAAAAAAATAAAAACAATTGTCTTTAAATTCTAGTACCTCAAGAACTTGATGAGAAAACTGCTTCAGCTGTGAATATTTTACAACATATTATAGATATGTCTCAACAGGTAAGTGAGTTTTCATATCCTTTTTCTTTTTTCTTTCTTGTGACCTTGCTTGATTATTGTTTAAGTAGTCTTGGTTCTAGAATGGAAGAATCAAATTCACCCTTGGTGCTGTTGCTCAACCCTTTTGTTAAATCTGTCAAGTTGCCCAATTATAACTCTCTCCTCTTCTCCCACTTGCCTCTGGCCAGTTTCATAAACTGGCTAAAAATACGCCTTATCAATGTAACAGAACATTCAAAAGAAAGTGCCTCCCTCCATGCTTCTGGCTTTTTATTCTGTTGCTTGCTTACCCACAATTTATATTGCCTCTTTCCATTAGGGAAAAGTATTTAATCTAGCATTGTTCAGTTAACATTTTTCTATTCTTCTTTCTCTAGGTAAGTAAGACAGTATTCTTTCTTTCTTTCTTTTTTCTTTTCTTCTATTTTCTTCCACAACAACTATATCGACAAAGGTGAAGAACACTCTTGTCTAAATTGTATTGATCTCTTCATCCATTGTTCTGTTGGTCCTGGTAAGACGATAAACTACATCCAACAGCAAGGCCTCTAATCAGGAAGTTTTGAAGAGCGTGGAACCACCTCTTAATTGCTAGTGCTCCCAGGCCCACTCTAGCCCTGGGTGGTAGCAAAAATCTATGGGCAAATAGTTCACTTTCAAAAAAGGTCAAAACACTATGAAAGTAGAAAAATAGGTTTAAGTACCAACAATACATTTTTAAAAAAAAAAAAAATATTACCAGCAATGTAAGTCTTGTTGGTATGAAATAACCCATTGAGATTGATATGCCTTAAAACAAACCAAACCATTGTTCTGTTGGCATTGGTGTAGGTTTTTCATTTTACAAAATTTCTGAACAGTTTATATTATCAAAGTCATAATTTATTCTCTATAACTTTGAGTGGTGATATTAACATTCTAAATTTTGTTTGGACAATTGAACTTATTTTTTGTGTTGTTGATGTTCTTTCAGGCAATAAACACTGCTGGAGAGTAAGTTAAGTGTGGCAGTGTATATCAACTAGTATAGATTTTAGCACAATGCATTTTTTTTTTTTTTTTTTTTTTTTTTTTTGTTTTTGTTAAAAATGTTGGTGAACTCCCCTTCATAGGGAATCACCTTAGTAGATGGGTAACAATATAGTTTTGTCTATGTAACTTGCGTTACTGGATGTATATGAGCACCTATTTGTCTCTGCTAATATTTTTAAAGAAATAAGTTTATTTTTCTTTGCTCAAGGATTATACATTTGCTGGAGGTTGAAGAATGAATTGGTGAGAATATTGAGATAACAACATCATGAACACAAGAGGAGCTCAGTTTTCTTTATTTTTTTTTCTCTAATCAATTTTTTATATTTGAGTAAAATCAACATATAACATCATTTTGGTTTTCTTTATAAATCTTTTTGCAGATAAAGAAAATGAATTACAAATTTTGTAATTTATAGCATAAAATGATTTTAATGTATTTGTTATATGAATTTATTTTCTCCTAAATAAATAACTGAAGTATTGGAAAATAACTTGTTATCAATACCTTTATTTTTTTAATCTTCTTTAAAATTGAAAATAAAAAAGAGCAGTGTCAATCTATTAAATCATATAAGAACTAAAAAGGATTGTGGGCCACTTGATGGATTAGGTAGTTGTGTATATTGGCAGCTAGGTCTCAATTTTACAGTTGAGTTGGCTAGATGTAACTGTGAATTCTATGCTAACAGTTTCTTCTCTCACACTTTTCACTTGTAGAACTCTCTTCTGGCCTCTTGCTTTCCAGTCAACTTTGGTTCTACCTGAATATTCAAGAAATGTTATTAAGGAAAAATATGCACTCTCTGGCTAGATTTGAACTTCCATCTCTCTGGGCAGAGGGAAATAATTGTTAGATCTGATTTGCGTTTCAGAGAAGCTTTGCTGATCAAGCTAAGTCTGAACCGTTAAATACCTTTTAAGTGAAATCCTTGTCATAGATTATTCAGAATTATCATATCTGCTCAGTTTTGTATCCAAATGTAAACAAAGTAATTTTCTCAAGAAGTAATGGATTTTTTTTTTATTAATCAGACAGTTTTTTATCACTTTAAATGGTACTTTTCATGGACACTCGTATTTAATTAGACGTTCTGTTTAATAAATAAAATTTAAAAAGTTTGTTTATTTTTGTCTACCAGCCTGGACATTTGAAAAATCTTATTAAAGATAATATGCACTCTCCAGCAGGATTTGATACAGAGGTATGCAGATTAGAAAATTGTTAAATATATCATTCAATAAATAAATGGAGCATCTACTCAAATGTTAATATTCACTAAAATAACATTTAAAGTGATAAAAATCTCTTTGATTAATAAATATAAAAAAGCCATCACTTCTTTAGAAAATTATATATTTTGATATTATTTTTAATGATGCCCATGAGTAGATGCTCTATTTTTATTTATTTATTTATTTTAATCTACTGACTTGAAAATTTGGGAAATCTTATTAGAAAAATATGCGACCTCTGGCAGGTTTTGAACCTGCATCATATCAGATCTAATCATGGTTTTCCCCTAGGGGACACAGGTTCAAATACTGCTGGAGGGCACATGTTTTTCTAACAAAATTTCTCAAAATATATATATATATATATATATATATAGTCCACTTCAACCAGGACTCTGTGTTGAAATGTAAATAAAACCCAGAATTTTGAATGATGATTTTCCAAGTGATCTGATTTGGAAGAATAAGTCGATAATCTTCCTACTTGTTATTTCTCCCTGTACTAAGTTTAACTTAACATATAAAAATAAAATAAAAATGATATTTCTCTGAGATATTACAATATAAATTATCTTTAGCAAAGAAGCCAAGTGAGAAAGAAAAGATGGCTGCTAATTTCTTTCTATTTCCAGTATCACCCTGTGGATCATGTTAAATATTGTTGGCTTACCCACTGACCTTGATTTTCCTTCTAATACATTAAAATTGTCTTTATTAGGACATCATGGCAGAACTGTGAACAGTTGAACTAAACAAGTTACATAAACTGTGTATATTACAATTGTTATATTAATAAATAAACAATAAATTATCATTTTTAAAAGTTATTTGGTGAGATATATCATGCTTCTAAATTCCTTGAGGAACACAGGGCCGCAAGATATTGTTGCGGTTTCTATAACAAACCAGTTTATTTATTTATTTATTTTTTTTTTTTTTAAGTGAGTGGGTTGTAAGCCAACTGAACAACCCCCCAATCTGGAGGATCAGGTTTTGAATTAAGAGTTGTCCTTCTCCTAGACCAGTTGCCATCCAAGGCTATAGAACCTGGTCTGTCCTCATATTTGAACCATAGCTGGGGGGAGAAGAGGATTCATACCTTTCCCAAGGGTATTCACACTTAGAATGTAATGGATTTGACTGGAATTTGAACTTGGCTCTCCGATTCTTCAATCTGAGCCGCTATCCATTACTTCACCATATCTCCATTTGTGATTAGCAAAGCCTAATATAGTAAATTGAGAAAAAAAATATTTTTAAACATCTTCTATTGAATAGAAATGTTCTTGAAAGTTATCAAAGCATTCATAAAAGAGTTTGTTTTATTTATATTAATTTGAAGATGTGTAGAAACAATGAAATAATAACTAAATCAAATACATTAATTTTCTTTCATGTATTCAGATTTTTCTGAGTAAACTTCATATTATTATCTTTTTATTTATTTTATTTTATTTATTTATTTTTTTTCAAAGGGAGCATTTGGCCAACAGCAAATAACTGTGCAATCAGACAGTGGTCAGATGGTTACTGTAAACCCTGAAACAATCATTGTACAAGAGGAAGGACAGGAGGTACTAGTTGCTGAAGGCAACCAGGACCTTGCAGGCAATCAGTTTGTGATTCAGTATGTGACGACACAAGATGGGGTACAAATTGCATCTGGAGAAACACCATTAGAAGTACACACAGCAGACATCCAGAACATTACAACCACAGCTACAGAACTTCATCAGGAAATTGTCCAGAGTTAAGAGATCCTTAAATTCCTGCCTATAAAAATAAATCTATATTGTAATTATGATAATTAAACTATTTTTTTTTCACATGGAATTTTAAAAATTTTATTTTATTTTCTGAATTGTGTAAATGAAATCTCTTTTTCAAGTTCTTTTTTTTTTTAATTATTATTATTTTATTTTCTTAAGCTGGTTCTACCAGCTATTTTTATTTGAATTAGTATTTTGGGGAATATATGATTTTTGATATACTGTTTCACAATTATAACAACTTCATTTGTTTGAGTCTGTCTGAGAGAAAGTAATGTTTTTAATGTTTTTCATTTCATTCCTTCATTAACATAAATGTTCCAAAGATCATAAAATTGACTTCCTACATGAAATATTTTTTTTTTTTTTTTTTTTAAGTAGGCATTGATACAATAAAAGTTTTGGTGCCATTACACTTTCACCCCCTCCCCCCAATGACACTAGCAACCACACAATGTTTTTGCCTTCAGTTTTTTTTTTTTTTTTTTTTTTTTTACCAATAGCTTTCTTTTTTTTTTTTTTTTTTTTTTCTTAATATTTGTTTCATAATTTGTGGATTTTAATTTTAAATGACACATTTCATTTCTTTATCTTTCTGACTTTCTTTTTAGAAACTTTTGACAGCACAAACACATTTGCAGAAGCTTTTTAAAACTATTGCTAATGTTTGTAAATTAAATTCAATTATTAATAATTGCAACAGTCCAATTTGTTATTTTAAATTAATTTTATGAAGTTAAACTTAAAAAAAAAAACTGTTTTAAAAATAAGTTTCTTTTCATTTTATAAATTTATCTGGTTGTTTTACTTTTTGGGGGGTGGGAGATGCAAAAGTGTAATAGTGCCAAAGTTTTCTAATTTTTGAATGTATAGTAGTATTAAAGAATGAAAGCTTAAAAATCAGAAATTTGTAATTCTACAGATTCATTCATGATAAAACATAAAATAATTATTCTTAAAAATTTTGTTCTACATAAAAAAAAAAGAAACAAAGATAATGAAAATTATAGAACATAAACTTTATTATAGTGAACACTTTTTATTTGAAATTGACACCCCCATAATGTTAGATTAAAATAAATTCATTAATTCTTTACAAAATACTCATGTAAACATGTTTAAGGTGTGTACTGGACATGGCTTTTAATCACTTTTGTATATCTACAACGAGAGGACGAATTTATTACATTGTTCAGGTATGATTTTGTCCCATTGCTTGTTCACTATTTCTTTCTTTTTCTTTTTTCCTTTCTTTTTTTCTTTTTTCCTTTCTTTTTTTCTTTTTTCCTTTCTTTTTTTCTTTTTTCCTTTTTTCATTCTTCTCTTTTCCTTCTTTCCAAAATATATATATATATATATATATATGGGAAGGTGAGTAGGTGTTTCTTCTGTCATTATTAGTGGACAATTTATTTATATTTAAAAAAAATAATGACGACTAAAAACCTTTCGATAAGGCTGCTCTTAAATATGGCATGTATAATCATATCAGTTAGACTGTTTTGTGTGATATTTTTTTTAACTTGAGGAAAAAGATTCCGTTAAATAACTGGTTTCGTTCTGTCTACATATTACAAAGGGGGCCATTGATAGTGTCAATGATACTCAAAGAAGTTTAAAGCCATGCCCGTTATATAAGAACCCTGTCTGTAGATATCAGGTCCCTCTCATACGCTCTCTCTCTCTCTCTCCCACCTTGTGACACACACATGTATACAAATGCACACGTGTCGACACATGCAGATACTCCGTCTGTGTGTATGTATATATTTCGTAAATATTTATCACTCACTTTCGTTTTAAGATATAAAGATGATTGGAGAGCAAAATTATCCCCCACTGCACTTTGCAGCCATGTTGAACCTGAGCATGATGTAATATTTCAGTGAACTTTTTACATAGTTCTGTTATGACTCTACACCAAAAATACCATTATATGTCAAAGAGGAAGCTTTTTACAGCTCTGAATGATTTATCAGCCAGTATGGCTGTATTATTATGTGATCCCTCAACTGATTTAGATTGCTTGATGCCAAAAAAAAAAAAAAAAGTTGCAAGGGAGGGGGACTTGAGCATTTTTGTCCCTCGTCTTATACATGTTTGGGACTCCTTAAATTTGGCCTTGTGTCACATTCCATTCTGTAATTGTAATCATCTTGGGTGCAATTCCTAAAAATCTCTGCAGATTCTGAAAAGAGGACATTCAACTATACATATCAATAAAAAAAAAAAAAAATTACAAAATTTTAACAACGGTTCTGCTATACTGTAATGATAATATTATCCGTTTCCTTATAAGGAAACATTCAGCATTAATTGATGAGGACTTGGTTTCTAACTTTTTGTGCAACGTCAATATCTTCATTATGTCTATTTTATCTTCAAGTCACATGTGCTATCCATTTTAGTTATCACAAGTCCTCGAGTGATGTGTTTTCTGTTATTTTTTATGGTTCTGTAGCACTAGACATTGAAGTTCGAAGAAGGATGGTCCTCACTAAGTTCTACCTGCTTCATTTGCTTGAAGCCATTTTTAAATGTTGATCTGAGAAAGAGGTTGTATACAGATGACACTTTAAATATTTCTGAACAAGTTTGGCAGCATAGATACATAACAGCCATATGAAAGTCTTGATCTGACAAAGCTATTTAAAATCCTGAATTGAGCTTTTAACTTAATGTTTTGGTTTTGTAGCAATTTATGGTGTTGTGTGAAACTATCTCTAGGACAGCACATTTCGTGTTTGATTTCCTTATTTCTCTATGCTAAACATGTTATAACTGTTGTGGGCTCAATACTTGGCCACAATAGAGTTGAACTAAAACTTGAAGAGTTAAGTTACTAAAGGGAATTAACTGAAACATTCAGAAAAGGCATGGCACGTGGAACTAGAGCAATCATCACCTGAAGAAGGCCAGAGCAGGCAATGGCTGGAATTTTGTGAATATGACAATGTAAATAGTGTAAATTGTTATAATGATCCATACACCAAAGTATTTGAAGCGTTTACTAATTCCACATACTAAGTTTTTATGATGGATTCAGTTTGGAAAACTTGAAAGAGGATCTCTATCTATAAAAGGCAGGTTGTGTGTGTAACGAATGCACGGCTGCAATTTTTGACAGATTTGCACCAAAATTTACATGCACATGCTCCAAGTTAGTGGGAAGGCCAAGACCAACTTTGCATTTCCCAACTCCCATCGATGGTAGAAATAATTGATTTTTTTTCGTGCTTCTACGGCAGTTTTCATGTAGTTTGCGGCCATTTTCGACTGGCTAGAGTGAGAGCCTATAGCTGGCTGCCATGAATAGGCAGGAAGATTCTATTGGCTAGCATGAGAGCCAACAGCTGACTGACATGAATGTTAACTAGCATGCAAAAAAATCGATAACTGCATTCGTCACAAGTGGGAAAAACTTAAATCTGCATGGCACTTCAATTGGTTCATTCGCTTGCTTAAACTCAACGTTGATTCTGATTCCGCAGAATTGAGTCGGTTTGAAAAAGTATTTGTTGTTAACATTCTTTTTTCATTCAGTTTTTCCAGTTATGAGTCCTTTTTTTTTTAAAGCTGATTGTTTTGAGTTCATTTTCTTTAGTTCTTTTTTCGTATCAGATTTGATGTTTAGTATAGAGCTTAGAAAAAATTTGCAGTGTGGAATGGGCAAGAAGTAAGGCATTTAGCAACATCAGCACGGCAAAGGGCACTCCTTTAAAAGCAAGGAAGGGCAAAAATATTTTAAGTCAAGTGATAGCGATTGCTGTATGAGTTGTACGATTTTTGAATCAAGCGGGCCATGCTGCTAGTTATATATATATATATATATATATATATATATATATATATATATATATATATATATATATATATATATATGTGTGTCCATAAAGTTCGTGTGCACTTTAAAAAATTTATAACTTTATTTGTATTTGCGATAGAAATAATCATGAAAAGTGCACATGAACTTTATGGACACCCTCTCTGTGTGTGTATGTATGTATATATATATATATATAATTATACATTTTTCACAAAAGCCACATCTGCACTGTTTGCTAGGTTTCATCATCTGAGCTGAACCTGCAACTTTCAGGAGCCAAAAAGATATGGTAATTGGATGGTGCCAGATCCACCAAGTGTAAGGGGGATGCAGAAACAATTCAAATCCAAGCTGTTGCATAGTCTCTACCATTGCTGTTTGGCAATGCATTGTGGAGCAGTAGCACCCCTTCGGACAGCAGTCCTCATTGTTTGTGATGAATTGCAGGTTTCAGTTGGTCTTGCATTCTCTCTTTCTTTCTCCTCTATCTTTTACCATTTTGTCTCTTGCCTCTAACTTCTCATGGTCTCTCTCACCCCTAGCTTTTCATATTCTCTCTCTCCTCCTCTAGTTTCTCGTGTTCCCCCCCTCTCTCTCCCCTCTAGCTTCTCTTGTTCCTTATTTTCAATTTCTTCTTTCATTTCTTTTCCTTGTTTTAATTCATTCCAGTCTCATTTCTCTTTCTGTTCTCTTTTATCCAAAAATTTTTTTGCCTTTCAGTCTGTTACATTATGACAAACTTTTTTTTCTTTTGCTTTTTAATTTTCCTGGTAATGTCTTTTTCTTCCTCGTCATCTTTTTTTTTAATTTTCTCCTTGTTTCGTTTCCATCCTTTTTTTCTCTTATGAATTCATCCCCTTTCATTCTTTTTTTTTTTTTAACCTCTTTTATCTACTACATTTTCTACCTGTCAATCTTTTCTCTTTGTTTCTCAAAAACTTTTTCTTTATCTTGTTTTTTCTCTACCCACAAGATAGAGATTTACTACCACTTCCCCCCCCCTTTTTTTTTTTCCTCTGTCTCTATAGCCTCAGAAGGGCTGAAGGACAAAGAGTATTTGCACTCTTTGATTTTTACCAACAAAAATGAGTAGCACATGTCAGTGGAAGGGAAAATAATATTATAATTACGATACTGACTTTCTACACATCCTTAAGCAAAAGATTAGAAAGGAAACTTATAACAGTACTGAGTGCAATACTACTTAGTAGACAAGTTTTTTTTTGTTTTTTTTTAAATCTTTTTAAGAAAAATATCTTATAGATTTTAACTACTTGGTCAATGGATGCCAAATGTTTTCTTGCATGAAATTTCACCATTACCATGTAATTCTAAGTTTGGTTTTAATGTTTCATCACAAACTTTAATCTTAGAGCTTTGCCAAATGACAATTTCTCCAACCAATATTGTTAAAATCTTACCTATATATATTTGTTCTTAATAATAACACTGATATAATCTATTGTTAGTCAACCTTGCATGTGTTTTCTAAATCTTTCAACTGTGTTCGCTGCGCTCCAGCTTAAAACTAAAAATTTCTTCTTTTAGCATTTTGTGTTGTAAATGCTATTTTTCTTAAACGTTGGGTTACCAATGTAAATGGTGATTTGTTGAAAAGATTAATGTGGCTGTGTGTTGAAGAGCATTTAACATTTATACATTTTTTAAATCAAGGAAAAACAATGGAAAATCGATTTGTGTTTCAACGATAAAATATATATTAAAAACAACAAATACAAGGTAATTTTTGTAATGTGTGAAAAAAGTAGTTTCCCTTTATCTGTTAGTTGAATATGGTGATATTTAAATAAGCAAGTTTTCTGAATATAATGTTCAGAGTTCTGTGTTAAAATAGAATGTGTATTCAGAAGATCATTCAGTAAGTTCAATTGTATATTTTGTATAACTAACAGAGCTGTTGCAATTTGGCTTGTTCACAAAGAACTGATGGGGAATGATATTCAAGTCGTGTGTGCGTAGAATGAATAATCTGTGTAGACACGTGTGAGTAGTTGAGTTCTGCTGTCTTCAACTGTTTTCAACTCTACTGTTTAATTTGGGAATGAATCCGGACTTATATTATTACCGGTAGGCTCCCAGCACGAACACAGGATAAATTTTGAAAGAACACAAAAAATATCTGATTGGATGAAAAATTAACCAATCGGTGATTTTATAACAAAAGCATGTTTGTGAATTAACGGTAGGAAAAATTCAGTGTGGTGAATGCGATCAGTAAATTGTCCTGTGATATTTAGTATTTATTATTTGACCAATTACAGTTGAGAAAAATGTAGGCGTGGCAAACATAGTAGTAATCACTACAGTGTGCTTTTGTTCTGAATCTGGTTAGTTTGACTAATCTATTACTTCCATAATATAAACGCCCAAGTTACTATCACTGGTTTGTAAAATCTATACCTTTATAATACAACACTGTGCTTACAGCCATATCATGTTGAAATATGGTTCTCATACAATTACCAAAGTTAAGCAACATCAAATCTGGTCAGTTTCTAGATGGGTGACCACTTGGGAAATACCAGGTACTATAAGCTTGGATATGCCAGTGTTGTCTTGGATAACGGCATTGGAAATGGAAATTAGAAAGACAAGTTCCAATTCCAATTGTGTTCATTATATTCAGTTATGCACAAATATCCTTAGGAAAAGTAATGAATTCACATCTTCTCCCCCAGTTATGGGTTAATTAGTGTTGTATGAATAAATTCTTATTTCCAAAAGATTTTTACAATCCAAAAATATTTTCTGGCTTTAAATAAGATAGGCTGTAAAACACAAACAAACAAACATATATTAGAATATTTGGTTCTTATTAACTATTGTGGTCCAAATAGAAATCTACTATATCAGAATGTGCTGTTGTCACAAGAGATGGCTTTGTTGGGGATGTGCAGAGTTTATTAATTATACTTGAGAGAATCAGAAGGAATTTGTGTAGGTTGCGTGACTTTCTGCATCCACAAACAAATAAATAAACGCATTTCAAATACGATTAAGAACAAGACATATTCAATTTTGAAACCAATAAAACATTTATATACAATTCAAAACAATATACAAGTAGGATATTTGGTATATGTCATTATGGCAAAGTGTGTGTGATATTTTATGTTTCAGTATGTCTCTCTTAGTATTCGTTTGTTCATTTACAGTCATTTTAGATTTGTGTTGATAATTAAAATTGTCAATATTAAGTCTCTTTTTGATAGTAGTTCTTACGGAGTGATCTACCTTTGACTTATTTTTTTAAATCGTTTGCACGTTGATTTTCACTTAAGAGGTAGTGAATATAATTCACTTTGGATAAGCAAGGTTTGTGATTCGATGTCCACAGAGTTGGTTGAGTTTAAATTGCAAGTGAGTCAGCGTTGATGTACCTTTGCGCAGTAAAATCGTGATTTCGAGTGACGTGGAGTATGTTGGCAATTTCTCTGTGGGTGTTTGTCTCTGACGATATTTATTACTGTAAGTACAGCAAATGTGGCACAAGGCCAAAAAAGTGGGTGGGGTAAAGGACGGTCATCACTTGTCTTAATTTTAAACTTAGCTAGCCACAACCACTGAGCCAAACATACAAAACAATAATCCTAACACCAAAACACCACATTCATAATTACCTTTCTTACTACATCCACCAAAATACCTCATTGTCTCAATGAGAATCCTAATTAACCCCATATGTACAAATAATGTCTTGGGGGGGAATAAAATATAACAAGTAAAAGAACCCCAATGAATATATACAATATGACTTAAAATTATTTACATGAAACTAAACAAAACCATGTTAGTAATAAAAAAAACCCACAAACCCTAAACGTGGCAGTAAAATAAATTAACTGGACGAAATTGACACGGGACTTTAAAAAAAAAATATAGGAAAACATTCATCCCTCCCAAACACGCACTGATTCAGACACAACAACAAATACGAAAAAACACACCCTTAAAACGAAAGGCGTCCCGCATCCACCAGAGAACTGAAGACACTGACCACCTAACGAGGAATGGGATGGGGAGTTAAACTAAACGTAAGGAAAAGGGGACAGAAAAAGGGGGGGGGGCAATGAGCAATCACACCATAGCTAAGTTTACAGAAAAAGAAGAGAAAACTAAAAAATCACAACCAAAACCTACTCTAGCCTAAAAAAAAAAAAACAGGGATGGGTTGCCCAAGTTCGACCCAGGAAAGCAATATCCTAATGTCTAACCGGCATCAAAATGCCACTCAAGGTCAGCCCCTTTTACTCGACACATACGCGCAAGATTCACCCACCTTTTGCCAAATTCTGATGAGGTGAGCCGCCACCTTTCCATCCTAATCTTGACTTTAAGCTGATGCGTAAAGAACAAGATCAGTTGGGAAGAAGTGAACTTCTCGCCCTCATAGAATTCCTTCTGACGCGTCGTCCAAATCACGACTCTCATAACCCCTAGAAAGCAACAGAACACAGTGTTCAGCCTTCGTCATCCGCGGCACCACATTGCTACAAACAGAACTGGCTTCAAGGACAAAAAACTTTCCCTGCAGCATGCGAACCATAGTTCTTCAACAAACCTGCACAACGGCACTACCGCCCTGCACTGAAAGAAGGCGTGACCAATGGTCACGACTTCCCCCGTACAGTGACGACAGTTTTGATATTTCTCCAAGCCTGCTGAACAAAGTCTTTTGCCGACCCAGAGGGCCCCACGAATCACCAGCCAGGTGAGTGATACCTGATCATTATTGAAGCATTTCAACCCAGGCGCCCAAGGCCATATCGAGCGAGCCTCCTGCTTCGTAAGACCGAGCTCGCCAATTAGATCATCTTGAACGGCCCCACTAACTAACAATTGATACAATGCCTTGCGAGACAACGCCTGGGCGTTGGAGAGGCCATCCAAAGCCCGAAAGAGGAGTTTCAGAGCACGACGACATTCGCTGTAGAAGGAGCACTCGGCTGGACGAATCACAATGCTAGGCATACTCAGACCGCCCTCAGAGGGATGAAGGCAACAGATCTCGCGAGATATCATAGGGGCCTTGTCTCTCCACAAGAAAGAGAACAAGGTCCGTACTAATAAAATTAGTCTGGCATACGGGAGTGGAAGAACAGAGTCGGTACAGGAGTATCGGATAGATGTGTGAAACATACTTCCGCCCTCCAGGGTAAGTCTCCTCCGAGACCACAGATTAACCGCGATTTCAGCCTTCCCTTGCACCTCCGACCAATTCATTTCCAACTGGAGATCAGGACCGAACCAGACGCCGAGAATCTTGATCGGCCCATCTGTCCAGAGGAAAGGTCCGGGAAGAGAAACTCCCTTCCACGCACCCAACCGCAAGCCAACAGACTTATCGCGGTTTATCTTGGCCCGTCACCATCTCATAGCCACTGATCTCTTTGCTGACTTCGTCAATCTCGGCTCTGCTCGACACAAGAACCGAAACGTCGTCACCATAGGCAGAATACCTGGCTGAGGTGGTAGCCCCAGGCAGGGAAATTCCGCGCAGGACCGGATTCACCTTTAACTTGCGAAGGAATAGTTCCAACGCAGGAACGTAAAGCAAAGGCGAAAGCAGACAACCTTGACGAATGGAGCGAGACAATACGAAAGGTTTCGATCTTGCCCCATTCACCTCCACCAGCGGACCGGGGGTCACATACAAAAGTCGGATCCAGGAGCGAAAGTCGGCTCCGAAACCGGCCGCCGAAAGAACAGCCTGGAGAAACCGATGGTCAACCCTATCGAAGGCCTTGGACTGATCTAAATTGATCAGCGCGGCTTCACTGTCGACTTGTTCTAAGATCAGGCATACCATATGAAGGTTATCCTGAATAGTCCTGCCCTTCACAGCACAAGTCTGTTCGGGGCCAATCAGACTAGACAGGACAAGCTGCAAACGGTTGGCTAAGATCTTCGCCAAAATCTTTAACTCAGTGTTTAACATGGTTAAAGGGCGAAAATTCCCAAACCCATCCCCACCGTTCTTGTCCTTATGCAGCAACTTGATCACACCCCTGGTGAAGCGTTGAGGTATAGAC